AAAGTTTGTACATTTTTCCACACATTGTGGAAAAATGTAACTTTATAAAGTGAATCATAAGATAAGCTGTGCTTTACAGTGGCTAGTTTCTGGTGTCTTTGTTTTGGGCTGTACATTTTGTGCTTGAGATAAATGTAAATTAGGAGAATATGGACAAAACAGAGCAGGTCACATTGCTGACCTGTCCCAGCCAGTGCAATAAGCCTTGTTTTTGTGTACGAGTTGCTGAATTGAGAGTAGTGACGTGGAACCGACCAAAAACAATGACTTGTAATCCTATCCGGAAAATGCAGTTAAAGCAGCTTAAAGTATTTCCATCGGTTAAATTACCTATTATTATGTCTAAACGTTGACCCACAGAACTTTTAAACAACCGCACGATTGCAAAACACATTGGCGTCTGTATGTGTTTTCTTCTTTTTTGCAAATATAGAAATAACTAATCAATCCTTCATATATTATTCACATGTTATATATTATTCACATGTCATGAACAGTAAATGAACTACGCAGTGTTTACAGCCACCACTGTACATAACAGAGACCTCACATGACCCAATCTGGCATAGTTCACTTTTCCTTGTTCTTCTTGTTCTTCTTGTTCTTCTTCTTGTTCTTCTTGTTCTTGTTCTTCTTGTTCTTCTTGTTCTTGTTCTTCTTCTTCTTCTTCTTCTTCTTCTTCTTCTTCTTCTTCTTCTTCTTCTTCTTCTTCTTCTTCTTCCCCTCCTCCCCCTCCTCTTCCTCCTCTTCCTCCTCTCCCTCCTCTTCTTCTTCTTCTATTCTTGTTTTGCTGTCGTTGCATCGTGTGTACATCAGTGAATGCCTATAGGCCCCACGGCTCCTTCTCCTGCCCGGTGTCACAGTGTTTAACGTTCCCCTGCCCCTGCACACATCCATCATGGTGGCTTGGCCAAACGCATGTGCCCATGTGTATTCATCAGTGGCAGCTGATGGCGGCGGTGGACGGTCGTGGCGGTGGTGGTGGTGGAGAGGATAGCGGTGTGTGTGTGTGTGTGTGTGTGTGTGTGTATGGGGGGGGGGGGGGGGGGGTGGTGGTGGGCACAGCAGCACGAAAGCGTTGATTTACCGCCGCGCCGGCCGCCAGGGCCCCTTAATGACCGAGCGATAGGCTGCTCATGGAGGGAACAGGTGCTCAGGAGTGACGAGATGCGATGCGATGCCGCCCGAAACGCCGCGGGTGATTGTGGTTTTGTTACTTCCACAAACACTCATCAGCAATATTGTGTTTCGCATGTACATAATCATTATGAGCAGAGAAATGAACCTCTCTCTCTTTGTCTCTCTCTCTCTCTCTCTCATGCTGGGGATTTATTGGCTTTGGAGTCAGGGAAGAAAAAAACACACACACACAAACACAGACACACAGAAACAAAGAAAGAAAAGAGTCCAACTACCACACATAATATTTCAAACTGTTGTGGGTCTTTGGAGGGCCGTGTGCTTTACATGTGATCGTTCATTTCCAAAAAAACAGCGCAATACTTTATATGCAAGCTGTCATACGTCAGGACCAACAGATGCGGTCTGCTGATCCAGCCAGACGCAATCTCCTCAATGGCAGATGCCGTTGATTCACCCTGTGCCTCACGAGACCCATCTCCTCCTCGCCACGACCTCCTAGTGTCTCCGTGAATCTGAACAACCAGATCCATATGCTCTGGCGCCGTCGTGAATATAGGAACAAAACAAAACAGTCGATTCATCACGGCGTCGTGCATTTGTAGGTGTGCAGCGTTTCGGCGTCACAGTGCACAGCCCACACACATGGATTCCTAGCGTCCCTTCTCTCACTCTCCATTGCCTTCCATGCCATTTCAGACCGCCGGTGGAGGGGAGAATGGGCAAATCGGAAAGTCAAATGGACATCATGGAGAAATCAAGCAAACCAGGGAAGCGCCGTTGGACCGCTGCAGAGATCGGCCTGTCTGTTCTGTTGATGTTGCTCAGCTGTGCCTTGGCCGGACTGGTAGTGCTCTACACGTCGGCTGTGAAGGGTAGGCCGCCAAAAACGCATTCACAAATCACCCCAAACACCCCTCACCCGCCCGGGGGGTCAGTGGGAGACGCTGTCTATGACCGTGTAATATGTAATATATGAGTGACAACGCAAGCCAATAGAGAACCAATGGCACTGTTTTACATGTTTCACATCTTGTTGAGTTTTCTGTTGCCACTGGTGAGTGGAAAGTATTGCAAATGCTTTCAATGAGGGTCTTTTTTGCATTACTGTTGCATTCATTGCTCACTGGGGAAGATCTGGAACTGTTGTTTCCATTTACAGAACAATCTAAAAGGACGGGTGTCTCCAGTAGCTCCACCAATGAGGGTAAGTGCTGGTTTTGCAACAATGGAAAAGCCTCAACTATGAAGATAATAGTTACAAAATAGTCCTCATCATGTACGAATTGCATGATATCTAAGCCAGACCGCCCCCCCCCCCCGCTTAATTCCCCTTGCTGCCTGATCAGCAGTGTTGGACAAAAGTTAAAAAATAAACAGCGCTCAGTGTTGACAGAACCGCTTCCGACCAGATGCGGTGACATCCATCTGGTCGCAGCCCATTGCGCTTGCCACATCTTCTGAACCACCATAGTACATATGACACCACCTAAATACAACCGCCCGCTCAAGTCCCACGTCTCAGCGGGGGGATTATAATCATGCTAACTTCCTGTCCTTGCACTAACTCTCAGCCCGTATTATTATATTTGCAGGGCAGCAACGCGGCTCCAACATCAACAACGTGTGCACCACCGCGGAGTGTGTTGTTGCAGGTGAGAAGAGATGTCCCTTTTTGCTCCTCGCTCTTCCGTTTCTTCTTCTTTTTTTTCATATATTTATTTTCATTTTCAACATGATTCCAAAATTCGGGGCAACATCCGAACATCGCAGTTTCTGCAACATAATAATGAACTCACTGTTCTGTGATTTCATTTAAAAAAAAAAGAACATTTCCCAAAAAAGGGAACTTTTCCAAGAAAGGAAAACCCAAAACATCCCCGTCCCCATCTGTAGTTGTTTTAATCGATCTGTTCTTTTTCGTGATGTCGCCCCCGAAGCCGCGCGACTCCTGCAAAACATGGACGCCTCGGTGAAGCCGTGTGAGAACTTCTACCAGTACGCCTGCGGGGGTTGGCTCGAGCGCCATGTCATCCCGGAGACCAGCTCTCGTCACAGTGTGTTTGACCTTCTGGGAGACAAGCTGGAGATTGTCCTCAAAGGTCAGCACACACACACACACACACATACACACACACAAACACACACACCTGGTGGGTGTATACGGACCGGCTTGGCGTCATTACAGCTCTGGTGAAGAGTGCTTTCAGTGCGATTAGCGAGTATCAATTACGGCGAAGACTTTGAAGTTTGTTTTTTTTTCGTCCGTTTTTGCAGGTGTCCTCGATGACGGAGAACGAGGAGGACAGGGTTGCGATCCGCAAGGCCAAGACTCTGTACAGCTCATGCATGAACGAGAGTAAGGACCTCCTTCACCCTTCACCCCCTTTTCTACGCTGTCTGCTTCACATTAGTCCTCTTCTAAAATAGATGGTAAAACGTAAAACATCCCCCCCCCCCCCCCCCCCCCCCCCCGCCTGCTTCTTCTCTTTCTGACCCTGTTGAGGACACTTTGAGGCCGTCTGTCTTGTAACTCTTATCTGGACATTCAGAGTGTGGCCTTGCAGCTCCAGTGGCAGAGATGCTGTAACACTGTAACACTGCTGCTACCCTCTGATGGCTTGCGCTGGGCGGTTTGTTGGCAGGTCTGATAGAGCAGCGGGACTCCCAGCCTCTGTTGAGGCTCATCGACAGCATCGGAGACTGGCCAATCGCCTCCGACGACTGGAACACCACCACAGGTAGGATCAGGTTTACTATAGAGAGTAACCAAACACTACAGTCACACACAGGCTTTTAGCAGAGCATAGCGAACCAATTGGCCCGCAATTGCCTGCGTTTTCACCACAGATGGCGCCGTTGCTGTGATTTTAAAGCTAAATCCAGAGCTCAAATGTTTAGTCAAAGCACCTGCAAACGTGTCATAGATAAAGCCCTACATTTCTACACACATGAATGGACACATTCACACGTGTTCGATACACCTTGCTCATGGACCGTCGCTAATGTATCCTCTTCGGGTGTAGACCCCCAAACCCCCAGACAGCCATGTGTGTGTACAATTACATTGGGGTGAGCCGGTTCTCGGGTTTGAGCATCAAGTCACCGAGATGGGGGGTGGCGGCTCTCTCCATCAGGACTGCCACCCCGGCTTTAAATAGAGCCTCTTTGAGCTCGGGCCTGTGCTGTAATTAAATGTAATCAAGGACTGTGGCTCACACAGTATTAACCATGCGTATCTGCAGGCACATTTATGACTGGCCTGGTAAATCTGCTGGCAGGGCCGTGTTTTATTTCTTGCGAGAAGAGGCAGTCTGCTTTCATAAAAACCTGTCAGGCCTAATCCTGGGCAGGCATAGCTCTCTCTCTCTCTCTCTCTCTCCTTCTCTCTCTCTCTCTCTCTCTCCTCCTCTCCTCCTCCCCCTCTCTCTCTCTCTCTCTCTCCTCTCTCTCTCCTCTCTCTCTCTCTCTCTCTCTCTCTTCTCTCCCTCTTTTCCTCTCTCTCTCTCTCTCTCTCTCTCTCTCTCTCTCTCTCTCTCTCTCTCTCACTCATTCTTTGTGTGTGTGAATGAGGGAGTCGTTTTCATGAGTTGCTTCTCATTACAGAGGAAGCATGGAGTCTCGAGGACAAACTGGCAATGCTCACATCTCGCTATCATAAGAAGGTGTTGTTGGACATGTACGTGTGGACGGACGACCGAGACTCCTGCCGCCATATCATTTACGTAAGATGGACAAACTGGAAACGCATGGAAGCCCACCAAACAATGTGCCCTATTAATTATTCAATATGCACATTCTCATTAGGAACGTGTCAAGAGCGTGCACAAACACACAGTCGTAACGGCTTTGCATCGTAGGGCGGCATAGCGTAGTCGTGGCTACGGCTAGGGTGTTTGACTCCCAACCGAAAGGTTCAGGGTTCAATCCCCAATGTCCGCCACCTGGCTGTAGGTGTCCTTGAGCAAGATGCCTAACCCTGTACCTTCTCACTAATTACCTATATCTGAATTCAGTGTGACTCACTTTGGATGAAAGCGTCTGCTGAATGACTAAATAGTATTATTCAATTCAATGCTTTATTATTGACAGATTGACCAGCCGGGTCTTGGCATGCCGTCCAGAGACTATTACTTCAATGATGGAAATTACCAAAAGGTAACTGACAAAAACGTTGATTGATTAAAAAGTGCAGGAAGCGTTTGCGCCGGTATCGGGTGACATTGACATCTCGTGTTCACACCACAGGTACGAGAAGCTTATCTGCATTTCATGGTTTCCATTGGCAAGATGGCAAGAGAGGACAGGAACCTGACCCAAGACGACGACCGGGTGTGGGAAGAGATGGGGCAAGTGCTGGACCTGGAGACGGACATTGCCAACGTGAGTGGATAACGCCGGAAATTAAATTACAATAACTGATAAGCCACCTCTCTGATTGAATCCAATAACCACTTCAAACTTGTCTGGGGTCAGCGCCAGAAAGCTCAGGGCTAGACGAGACGAGACGAGACGGGCGAGTATTATAGGACAGGCTTTAGTGGATGTAGGAAATCGGTGGTCAACTGATAAGATCACAGACAGCTTTTCATTGTTGTTGTTGTTGTTGTGGTTGTTGCTGAGCAGGCCACGTCTCCAGTGGAGGAGCGGCAAGACGTCACGGTTCTCTACAACAGGATGACATTGGCGGAGCTGCAGGACTCTTTCAAGTTCAACGTGAGTGGGCAAAACCAGTCCCGTTGAGTTTAGTGCAATTACAGCACAAGTACAGCCTACAGTCCCAAACACCAGGAAGGAAAAGTAAGAAATGTTGGGAGGCTAACACACAAATGAGTGGTTCCCTATCCAGGATGGCTATGGGCTGGGAGTGCAGTAGCGGGTATTTAAACATACAATAGTAAGTTAACTGTGAGTCCACCTGCAAACCGAAGTACTTTTTTTATTTCTTTATTGATATTACGACTTTCATTTACCATCCACAACACTAATCTGGGCATTAAAGGGGCGACCCACCGATTTAACACATTGAGCTGCCCAGTGGCGTAACATCATGGTGATAGGCCCCGGTGGCAAATATTGTTTTTGTGCCCCCGCCCTAAACACAAGCGCACACCACACCAGGGGCGGACTGGGAACAAAATTCGGCCCGGGCAATTTTGTCCTGGAGACTGGCCTTGGGGGGTTGGCGATTGTTGACGGGGAGGGGCCCCCTCATGGGCCCCTGACGGCGTCTGTGGCCCCGGTGCAGCTGCACCGGTTGCACCGTCGATATTTACGCCACTGGAGCTGCCGTAGGGAAGTGGGGAAGAGGTTTCAAATAATTGGTGCATGTGTTGCAATTCCAGACTATATTGGAAAGTAAATCGGTGGAACTACCCCTTTCAGATCATTCTCAGCTTGAGGACAGACTTATAATGTTGTTGAAGTTACTTTTAAGTCTCTTTTTTATGAAGGGGGAGGTGAATACATTGGTAACACTTTCACTAGATATGCACATGTGTTTTTAAATGGTGTCGTTCTTTGTCCCAGGGTTTTAACTGGACTAGATTCATACAAGGTGTGCTGGCCAGTGTGTCCCATCAAAAATACAGCCCTGAGGAGGATGGTGGTGGTCTACAGCTCTCCATACCTGGAGAAAATGAATGAAGTTTTAGCCAAACACAGTAGGTCAGGTCAGTCCATCCATCCATCATATGTCTGTCTGTCCTGTCTGTCTAGATTGATAGATTGCCTTATGTTGTTTCCTCCAGAACGATGCAGAACTACCTCACTTGGCAGCTCATCCCTTGATAGAGTGAAACAGCCTGAGTCGCCGCCTCTTAAGGAAAGCCCAGAGCACAGTACAGGAAGGTGAGGCTGGAGGAGGCGCTGCAGACAGACCACAATTATATAGTACAGCAATCCTCTACTACTACTATTACATGACTACCTTAAAAGAGAACCAATTCAGTGTGGTGTGTGTGTGTGTTGTGTGTGGTGTGTTGTGTGGGGTGTGTGCGTGCGTGTCGGCGCCAGGCGCTGTACGGCAACCACAGTGGGGAGGAGGGAGCGGTGGCGCCGGACTGCGTGCGCTACGTCCAGAGCAGCATGGAGAACGCCGTGGGGGCGCTGTCGTGCGAGAGAGACCTTTGCCGGAGAAAGCAAAACGCATGGTGGGTTCACGCCGTCTCGTTCGAGGTCCACTCACTCAGCAACAGCTGCACTGTTGTTGTTGTTGTTGTTGTTGTTGTTGTTGTTGTTGTTGTGGAATTTAGAAAGCACTTGGAGATGCTATATACCTTTCACTTTGGTTAAAAGTGCCTTTGGTTAAAAGCTCAATGACTACATAGTGACAAAATATCTGCCAGTCCAGTTGTTTCTCTTTGAATTAGTACCCAATTTTTAATATATGCTTTGCTTGTTCTCAGTCTAACTTCTAAGTCACTTTGGATAAAAGCGTCTGCTAAGTGACAAAATGCAATGTCCAAAGTTACCGTCTGGGAATGTATCCCATTTTGTTTTCTAGAGCCACATTCAAAATAAAATATGACACGTCTAACGTGTATTTCTAGGTTAGTGACCTCATCAGTAAGATCCAGGAAGCGTACGTTGAAACCCTGGAGGAGCTGAGCTGGATGGACTCGCCCTCCAAGGAGAAGGCCAGAGAGAAGGTGACCACCCCCCCACACACACACACACACACACACTGTGTAGACTGGCCACTGTGGAAATACACTTATTAAAATTGACAACATTTCTTCGGGAGAGTATCCCCTAACTTAACAGGAAATAAGGTACGCCCCTTTCAGTTTCTGGTTTCCTGGCTCTGTGCCGTCTCCCCCAGAAGTTCTG